CAGTTCCTCCGAACAATCAGTATCGGTGGTTAGATACTTGTATTATAATAAAACTAATACAAAGTCTAATTTGTTTTTATTATTAATTAAACTATTTGTCAATTACTATATATAAATTTTAAGTCGACACTAAATTTAGATTTGTAGGCACAAAATATCTTATACATATGAATTTAGCATTTTCCTTTGTTTTTTTTTTGTTGCTAAATCAAAGATTTGGGCGAATGCACCACTTTCATTGTTAGATTAAACTCCTGATCGTAGTTATGAGTGTTTCAGGGAGTTGTGAAGGAATCAGATGTTGAATCTTTCAACTTGCCATTCTACAATCCTGATGAAACTGAGTTGAAGGAAGTTATCGAAAACCAGGGCTCATTGGAGATAAACAATTTCGAAACAATACTTGGATTTCCCTTTTCAAACAAAACTGGCCATAGTAGTGAAGTAGAAGATGAAGATGTAGAGCATTAACGTCGGTTTGAAGTCGCTAAAAAGAAGGCAAGCGAGATAAGATCAATCATTGAACCGATGCTTGTTGCTCATTTTGGAGATGCCATCATCGATCAGCTGTTTGAGAAGTATACGTACCATGCATGCCAACGTTACGATACTTTGCGCAACAAACGAACCGTTCGTTTCTTTGTTTCGTTGACTAGGAAGTGATGGATGGACCTTCCATGTGTATTTTGTAATAATTGGCCAACTGAATATGTTTATGTATTGTGCTTTTTACTCTATTTTGTTCTGTTTATGCAATTTTAAAATATGTGTATTCGTTAATTTTTATATCATTCAGAGAGGAAAAAAAAACAATAGTCTCGTTGATCGTTTCGTCAAAGTTTTTAAAATGATTTTTTAGGTTTCCTTGTATCTTTTTGAGATCAAATCAAACGAAACAAAACATATCTTGAAAAAATGTAGACAACTCTTATAAACTAAAGTAACACAACTCTTTTATTATCTATAGTAAACGTTAAGAGTTGTGACAAAATCTCTTAAACAAGTGGTAGAATATATAACCATGGTCCACTCAGAGTCTATTCAAATTATTCAACTACCACCAAGCCACATGGATCCAGTTAGTATATTTAAATCTCAATTGCATAGCGAGTAGAAGAGTTTTTTTTTTTCCTTTTTTTTTGGTGTTTCAAATTTTTAATTTGGTATTTTTAGATTCTCTTGGGAGATTCAGAGTTTATATATTAAAAAACCCTGCATTGTTTACAATTTAATTTAAATACAACAAAAGCGGGATTATGTAAGAAGATAGGATTACGGGATTCTAAAGGATTTGATAAATACCGTACACTCTCATTTTAGTTAGCGATCAGTGACGATAAAAGATGAAACACAATTGATCAACAAACAACTTCGATAGTTATATAACAAGAAAAAAAAAATAGCATAAAAAGATATAAAATGTTTAGATAAATACAAATATTATTAAACAGTCAGTTTAACAAACAATGATTCCACGCATTCTTTTATTATTTTATTTTTTATAATTTAATGTTAAATTATATTTAAGAAAAAAATAATGTGTGTACAACTAGTGTGACATGATCTATGTAAGTGAAAAAAAACATTTGAACCATCACTTGTTTAGAAAAATTCAAATTGGCGAGATTAAAGCCACCGTTGATAGCCCTCGTCGTAGCGTCGTAAAATTTTTATTTTTATTCATCAAATGGTGGAACTTTGTTTTCCTATTGCATGTTTATTCTGTTGTAATTCTTTCTTTGTTTTCTAATCTTAATTGATCACTTTTAACAAACATTCACGTCCACATAACGCTCATGTTTTTTAGTTTTTGCGTTCAATGTTTTTGTTGTGTCATCAAATTTGTTTGAATATTACAAATGAGATCGATGATGAGATTAGCCAGAAGAAAGATTTTAGTTGAAAAACAAAATAAAAGTTACCCTACTTGTCGGCAAGATAAACAAAACAAAACCAAAACACACATACGAATACGATTTCAATGATTTTCATGATCAATATGTCGTCCTCAATAAATTAAAGTACATTCAAGAACGTCTTACTTTGCACCCCCTTTTGTGTTTATATATTTGTACCCAAAATGTTCATTTTTACCATCTAATCACACCAAGTTGTCGACATGGGTGTTGTTAGCATGAAGGGTGGAGATGGAGAACACAGCTATGCAAATAATTCTGAGCTGCAGGTATTAATTAGTACTTCTCTATATAACATATGAACCATAGTTAAACTTTAGAAAATATATATTAGATAATTTGAGTAACAACTTTTGTAAATATATATGTACACGTCTTTGAGCCTTTCTGTCTATCTTTCTCCTGGCATCAAATATCTATTTTTTTTTTTTTTTGGTTTCTTTCAATTTGTATATTCAAGCTTTTTTCAATGTATAATCAGATTTCACTTTTTTAACTTTTTAGAAAAGTCTTGTCTATAATGCAAAACAAATGGTGGTGAAAAACGTAGAAGAAATGATAGTGAGAATGGAATTTCCTGCGTGCATCAAAGTAGCTGACTTGGGATGTTCTTCCGGAGATAATTCTTGCTTATGTCCGAAATCGTTAACACAACCATAGCAACATACCAACAAAATGGTCAAAACCCACCAGAGATCGATTGTTGTCTGAACGATCTTCTAGACAATGACTTCAATGCAACTTTCAAGTTGGTCCCTTCCTTCCACGAGAAGCTGAAGATGGATGTTAAAGCAAAGTGCTTCGTCTCAGGACTCCCAGGCTCATTCTACACTAGGCTTTTCCCAAGCAAGTCTCTTCATTTTGTCCATTCATCCTTTAGTCTTCATTGGCTTTCTAAAGTCCCTGATGGGCTTGAGGAAAACAAGAAGAACGTGTATCTTAGAAGTCCATGCCTTCCAAGTTTGTACGAGAGTTATTTGAATCAGTTCAAGAATGATTTCTCGATGTTTCTAAGAATGCGTGCGGAAGAAACAATGCCTAATGCACGTATGGCTCTCGCTTTGGTGGGTAGAAAAAAATTGGACCCTTTCTCCAAAAACTGTTTTCAAGATTGGTCGTTGGTATCTGATTCTCTCCTCGATTTGGTGTCTGAGGTACTCCCACTAAAAGGATTACACTTCTTAATTCGTTTTGGTAACCTAATATTTCTTGACCTTAAACCATGGTTTCTTCTAGAGTACGTAGGTTAACTTATTTGTTCTTTTTTTTTGTAATCAAAGTATTTGCTAGTTATTACTAATAACAAAAATTAAGCCGACACTAAATTTAGCTAATGTTATAAGAAAAACTATTTTTGTGTATCTTATAAATCAAAGATTCTGAATTAATGCACCACTTTCATGGTTAGATCAAAGCCCTGATTGTATTTATAATAAGATTATGGACAAATATTTTGAGTATGCAGGGAGTCGTGAAGGAATCAGATGTGGAATCTTTCAACTTGCCGTACTACAATCCTGATGAAAGTGAGCTGAAGGAAGTTATAAAAAACGAGGGCTCATTCGGGATCAACAATTTCGAGACAATATTTGGACTTCTCTTTTCAAACAAAACTGGTCACAGTGAAGTGAAAGATGAAGATGTGGACCAATCAAGTCGGTCTGAAGTCGCTAAAAAGAGGGCTAACATGGTAAGATCAATCATTGAACCGTTTCTTGTTGCTCATTTTGGAGATGCCATCATCGATCAGCTGTTTGAGAAGTATACGCATCATGCATGCCGACGTTACGATACTTTGCGCAACAAACCAACCGTTAATTTCTTTGTTTCGTTGATTAGGAAGTAATGGACCTTCGACTTGTTGCTACCAATAAGATAATAATGATCCTTGGTAATAATTGGCCAACATGGTCATTTAATATGTTATGTATTGTGCTTTTATTGTCTCTGTCCCGGATGAAGTAAAGGAAGTAATAAACTAAGCTTTAAACAAAAGGATATGCTGTCTCTTGTGATGATTGAAGTTGTTTGGTCTGAATCTCGACATGTCTCTTTGTCTAATATGTCCACGCAGCGATCTTCTTCATCTGGAAAGAAGTGAAACTGTACAAAAATAGTATCTCTTTAACGGCTGTTATAATAGTCTTCAAACAGATGAACCAAAAAAACTCATGACAAGTCGGAAGCCAAGTTCAAACTCATAACAATAGTGTCATCAGTTCTTCTTACGCAATGGTTCAAACTATCATGAGTATATCAATGTTTTGTATCATTTTTTGTTTCATCCAGGTTTTTTAGTCTACTTTTCGGATCTGAAAGAAAAAAACTCTTTAACTATGCCCTTAACCCCGCAAAGAATTTTCCAGTAGTAGTAATTATCTAAAAGTACCTTATAAATGATATAAAATTTTATAATTTTTTATATTAAAACAAAAGTAATTTTTAAAGTAGATAGATAAAATGAGTATTTTTGAAAAGAGGCATTTCTAAAAAAATTCTCAAAATAATAAGGATAAAATCAAAAATATTGTCAAACATCTACATTGAGAATGTAAAAGGACATTTATTTTGAAACAAAATTTGAAGTCTAGAGTGACACTTCAATATTAAACGAAGAATGTAATACTTACAGCTTTGAATTTTAAATGATTATATACTTAATAACATGTATTTAGAATGGAGGACATGAGGAAATAGTTTTTTGAATTTATGAAGATAAACTTCAAATAATTCAAATTTCAAACAAAATAATTATAACTATTTCAAATAAAACAATTTGCTCTTAGTACATTTTATTTTTTAGACTGAATCTGTATAATACAGTATACAACACTGTAACGGTAAAGACTTAAATAATATTAAAATCTTAGATTCGGCCGTGCGGCACTGTACAAATGTATAATACTGCGCCGATCGCAATCGCAAATCGTAAGCCTCCCAACGGTAACTTTTCGGACATAATTTAATTCCAATCACTACACGACACGTCTCTCACATCCGACCCCAACGGTCGTCTTTCTTTCTTCTTCATCCCTTTGACTCAAAATATAAGAAGACACAACTCGAGTTACTCAAAAAAAAAAAAAAAGATCTGTAACAAAGAAAAAAAATGGTGAATCAGATAAACCTGCATGATGAAAAAGAAGAAGAAGAAAAGGAGAATTATCCTCTGATTACAACCAAAGTAGTTGAATACTTGCAGCCAGTAATGTGTCGAGAGCTTCTCTGTAAATTTCCAGACAACTCTGCTTTTGGATTCGATTACTCACAGAGCTCTCTCTGGTCTCCTCTCTTGCCTAGAAACTACGCTAGTCCGTCCGATCTAGACTCTGGCTCCTCCGACGGTTGCGTTTGTAGGAACCTTAAGCTCGGAGATTTTCATGTAGGCAAGAAGAAGAAGAATATGATGAAGATGTCAATGAACAAGAATAAGAAGAAGAAGAAGTTGGTGAAATTAGATATGACTTCGATGAAGAATGAAGATTCTCCTAAACTTGGTTGCTTTCCAATTCCTACCAAGGTATGTAATTACATAGATGATGTTCTCTCAGTTTTGTTTTGTTGATGTTGGTTTATAATTGATGTTGTAATTGGATTTAGGGATGGAATGGTGTGTTAAAGGCAGCTTCAAAACATTTCAAGAAATCAAGAAAGAAGAGAGATTCGGTAGCTGATGCCAAGCTTCTCAACTTCAAATGATTAGATTATTGTATTCGAGTTAAATTCTTACATCTGTTTATTTATAATAAAAATGTTTCTGTTTATGGTCGCCATTGTAATCATTTGAAGTGTTTGATCGTAGATTATATATATACAAGTGACTGCTTTTATTTTTCGGATGTGCATTTGAGTCTACTAAACAAACAAGTAGAGATTGTGAAAACATAAAAAACAATAAAAAGTAGAGATTGCGAAGTAGAGTTTTTTTTTAATGTACAATTGAAATAAACAAGCTTTGCAACAAATGTGGATTCTAGTAGACTTTGGTCCTGTATCTCGAAATACTTGAATCGTGAGCCCAAAACTCTCATTTCTTTACTATTTCGAAGTGCTCACGCTGAGATCTTCATTGTCATCAGACATTTGTTCGTCGTCATTGTCTTCGGAAATTGTCAGTCCATTTTGAAGCAAGCGCCGGTTCTCTTCTGATTCCTGCCTCATCAGCCGTTGCTGGATCCCATCTCTGATGGCTGTTCCCTGTGAGAAAAAAAAACAGTTTCAACCAGACCTTAATGACGGAGACACTATGCTTGAGATTTCAGAGGATGAGAGAATTAATCCTTTCTTTTATCTAGCTTACCATTTTGTGACATCCTTCCTCAAACATTTCAAGAAATCCCGCAACCCAACGATCAGCATTTTCAAGCCACTCATCATGGTGCATCCCAGCAGTTTTTGCTACGGTATGTATCTGCAAAACGGGGAAAGATTCAGGATTCAGAACTTACACAATGAGAGATTCTAACACCATTCTTAGCCAACCATTCTCCACTTGTTCTGTGTATTCAAAGATTCAGGATGCAACATCATTGACACATAAGAACAGATTCCTCGCCTCCTACCTTTTCTTGTTGTTCCTTCACTTTCTCTTGTAGTTTCTTAAATCTCATGTTCACTCTAAGCCTCTTCTCCTGTATTTAGTAATCCAAATAAAATGTTAGTTGGATATAACATCATTATCACATCAAGGAGGTATTCGTTGACTAGTGAAACCAGATGTGTGGAGGAAAAAGAAAGGAGACCATGCCTTAACAAAGCTGACACCAAGTTCTTCTCTCGAATATCCCCGGTCCAGATTACGCAACACATACTGGTTATAATCCTTCACAATTCTCATGATTATATCCGATGTCGAGATCCCCTCTGTTCGTTTCGTTTCTTTAAACTTCCCAATCGACTTAACCTGCACAAAACCAAAGTCCAAAAATTTACAAAATCACAAGAGATAACAAAAGGAACAAAAGAAGAGCCTCTCTATGTTTAAACACTCACAAACTCATAAACATCATTTCCAGCTCCACTCGCATCCGCATAGCTATCAAACAAAACACAACCACAGATCATTAACCTATACTCAAAACTACAAATTTTCTAATAGATATATAACACAAAAGCAAATCTTACGGAAGAGCATCATGAGCTACGTAATCAATCTTATGCTTATCAAGAAACTCAGTAGTGAGAACCCATGGTGCATCTGGAATAACTTCATCAACCCATCTGTTAACCAAAAAACAAAACACAATTACAATTAAAAAAAACCCCAAAATTCAACAAAGCTCTCCACAGAATTAAAAAACCATTACTTGCAATGTCGAAGCGATTCATATCGTTCAGATTCAGTCATCACAGTCTTCCCTTTGAATTTGTTCGTAATCTCATCATTACAACATCCAACAAGCAGATACGTATTCGGAAACCTAATTTTTCCAAAAATTTCAAAATCACAAATCGAATCAGTAAAATCATAATTTCTCAATGTTTCAATCATCGATCGAGATCGAATCAGAAAACGAAAAATCACAGAGGGATAGAGAATGGAGGAAACTGACGATTTCTTGGCTTGTTCAATGGCGCGAGCGTGACCGAAGTGGAACAAATCGTAGATCCCATCGGCGTAGACTCTAACCGGTCGATCTGAAGCTGTGCTTTCTCCTCCTGAGACCTTGTTCTCCCCATTAACGCTCATTTCTTCTTCCTCCTTTGAATTTTTTTTCTTCTGATTGGAGTGTTTTTTTTTTTTTTTTGGGATTTGTTTGTTTATCTTCAACAGTTTCTATGGCTTTCCCTCCAATCGCGGTTTTCTAATTTGGCATATTTTTTTCAATAAGAAAAGACTTTTCAATATTTGCAACCTAAAAATAAAATAAATCACATTCACATTTAAAGCCAAAAAAGTGTGATAGACGACAATTTTGTAAAATATAATTGAGAGATGGTGATATCATATATATTTAGGTCGGCCATGTTTGAACACTCAAAGATAAATGAAGTCATGCATTTTAACAAAAAAAAAAAAAAGATAAATGAAGTTGTATATTATTTAATAATTTTTATGTAAATATATTGTTTTTGTTATTATTATTATTATTATAATCAAGCATATATAAAACGTTATTGTATATATTAATCAAAACTAGAGCTGTTTGTTAATTCTTGTAGCTCTAATGTGATGTAAGAACCTAAGACCATGATTAATGGCAACCTCTTAGGTGGTTCTTAAGTATTGAACAGATTAAAATTAAATGTTTAATGTGTGTAATTTGTAAGAAACGTCTTTTAGCTAAGAGAAAATATTAGCACTAAGAGACGGACAGGTGTCAGTGTCTGACTGGTCAAAGAAGAAAAAAAAGAAACAACACACAAACCTCTCATTTTGGACACGTGTCAGTGTTTTCAAATGATTATGAACCTGAAAACTTAACCTAAATCAATCGTCCATATTATGTTTGGTTATACATCTGGATATTAAAAATTATGAACAAGTATTTTTAATTATTCATAATTTAATTTAAAATATTCAGAAAAGACTTAATCATATACATGTTGACAAAAAAAGACTTAATCATATACATAAAATATGTTTATACTTTATAACAATTTAAAATCTTCCCATTGTACCTCACATGAGGATAATTTATTACTTTAAAAATAAAACTTGATTAAAAGTTGTAAATACAAAACAAAATTCTGTATTATGAAATATTTAATAAATTTGTAAAAAAAAACTATACAACACTAAAATAGTATAATAAATATTTAACAAGGAAAAAATATGAGTAACTACAATAACATCGATTACTTTAATATCTATATTTACAATTTTATTGCAATAATTATTAAGTTTTTTAAAATTAAAAAACTTTAATTTTAATTTAGTTTTATTTTTTAATAAATATTTATTGGCTAAGAACCACAAGTTAAGAGTTTACCAATAAACACACAAAAACCTAAAAACAAAAAAATAATTTCTCAACTCTTAACATTTAAATTTTAATACTAAAACATGCTTAAGAACAAAACCTAAGGTGCTACTAATAAACATGCTCTAAGCATTATCATCACGAGCGATATATTTAAGTTTTAAAGTAATTTTCAGATAATTTTTGATTTTTTTTCTTTCTTAAAATTTTTAATGGGCATGCAAGGACTTCGTGGAAATGTAAAATAAAAAGTCTCAATCTTTGTTATAGTCACTAACACTTCAGCTATGACATTTTAAATGAAATAATGATGTGATAATCACTATGTTATTCATATTTTTATGGAAAACTTTAATGAGTTGTACAATATAAAAAATTTATTATATATAAATATACATATTTTATAGTTAATGTCATATAATTTTATATAAAGAAACAAAATATCTGTTAGATTTATCAAACTAAATCTAGTATTGCCTAGTGGAGATATAATCCATATGACATAATTTACCTCTTCACAAAAAAACTATTATTTTCCTATATAAAAACCTTTTTTTATTATAAAAAAAAAAATCTCTCACACAAAACATAATATATAGTTTTATTCTAATCTATGAGATATTTCATAATCAACATATGAATCCACTATTACATGGTATTGGTGTACAAAAGGATATATGTAGTACATAGTCTTTACATTTTGGAAAATATTTAAATACAAAATTTCATTACACAAAAATAGAAAAAAAAAAATACACCATATCTCGTTAGAAAAGAGAAAATAAATTAAAATCTAATGGCGAGTGAGAAAATAATTGAGATGGATGATTTACATTTACATTTACATAGATTTTTAGCCACCACTACCCAAATCTTCACATTTACATAGATTTTTAGCCTTTAAAATTGTTGTCTCTATAAATATTTTAAATAAAGTATGTGTTAAATAAAGATAATGGACTAAATATATATAAGAAAGACTAAGCCGAAAATAAATTTACACTTGGTTGAGATGATAAAACTTTAAAATATTGAGGAATTGAACAAAATGAAAGTTGACATATTGAAAATGAATTTACATATGTCATATTAGATACTATAAATTTGAAAATTAATACAAAAAATCTAATTAATACAAAATATTCAATATGTATATTGAAGAAAAATATGAAATATGAAAATTAAAAGCACAAGGATATATGAATCACAAATAATTATTATTAAAATTTATTTATAATATAACATTCTAAAATTTCTTCAAAACTTGAAGAATTATAATAAAATAAAAATACTTGAAAAAACAGTGTTGAATGTATTTTATTTTAGTAAGTTCGAGAAATTCAGATAATTACAAAATAATGTTTCAAAATAAGTAATTCGTATTTTTCTTATAATTTTTCAGTCTTAAACTCTTTTTTTGGTTATAAATGTGAATGTGAGATATTTATTATTTTACCAACAAAGATTTGAATTTTATGAAATTCATATACCATCATGTCTTTAATTATTTATTATTTTATGTTAAATACAAAAGATGCACACATGTATACCATTAAAAAAGTTTGAGGATATAACTTACATTCTCAATGGTAAAAATATGCATCTTTTGTATTCATTGAATGTGGCTGTTGTATAGTTGTTTCTCTTTTATAAAAGAAACATATGTTTTTATATTTATTAGATTTTTCTAAAGACTGATTTGGTAAGTGATTAGTTGACCTTGTTCATTTTGTCCCATGCACAGTGAGCGATACAAGGAGGAGTTTCTAACTCGTAGCTAGATATTGTTCTAAGGGTTGGTTTATCCTATCTTACCTTAGCTTCGTCCTAGACTCGTAGCTATATATTGTTCTAAGGGTTGGTTTATCCTATCTTCCTTGATCAAGCGATACTTGCCTTTGTCATTCCACGATGTCATTTATGACTATCCAACCCGGATTGCATATAATGAGTTTGCTTGAACTGCCCTTATGATTTACTAAAATGGTTTAAAAGTTCTGAAATGGTTTAAAAGTTCTGATTCTGTTAGGGTACTTTGAAATCCGATTTAAGAAAGCAAAAAGCATATACACATAACACACATATCCGAACGGTATGCATCATACATTAACACCAAGATCGGATGATCTTCGTATTGCAACACATATTGTTTACGCAACAAAATAAGAGTGTGGAAACGCAATAGTAATTAAGTATAACATTATTCACATTAACGAATGTTTCTCCAAAATTTGATAATTTCAAATTTGGGGTCTTCATCATGTACTTTTCCCAATATATTATATATATATATATCCCAAGAAAAGAGACCAAAACAACAACACGTGAGTTTTTTTCACATGTTGGTAGCCTAATTTCACCGACTGATCACTTTCTCTTGTTTCCGAAAGAAAAAAAGCAACGGCGATGTTGTAAAATAATATTCCTTACTTCTCTTTCTTTATAGAAAATTCTTCGTTAGATTGAAAGGCCAACTAAAGATTTTTCTTAAAGTTAATCATCATCACATGTAAGGGAGAATAAGGAAAAGACAATTCATAGAGATGACCTTTATAATTTCTATGTACAAGTCATATGAAATTATGAATGTATAAAAAGAAGTTCTAAATTCAACTCTCAATAGTTATTCAACAAAAGTTAGTTTCACACACCCATGCAACCATATCATGGATCCATGTAGTTTGAGAGATAAGCAAGAACAATGTGAATTCAATAGATTACGCCTGCGAGATCCTTATAAATATTAAAAAAAACTTCGTTATTGTAAAATGCAAACACTAGCTATAAAATGAGTACATCTCATTCGGGATAACAGTATATATATGAATGCATAATGATCTTTTTAATCCATAGAAGTATGAATATGCCCATTACAAGTCGATGTCCTTTATATAGAGCTATCGATCAATGATCCCAGAGAATATATAGCTTAAATAAGTTGGTAAAATATATGTGTAACGTATTAACATACTATAATGTATACATTCACAAAATTTATAATAGTGTAGTCGAAAAGTTATGAATATATTTATCCATATGATAAGATCACAATATTGATTACATTTGTTTCCAAAGCCACTTTAGAGTTTTTTTTTTCTTTCTTACTTTCTTTCTAAATGAACTCTTAACTTTTGAATTGACGATATGTCAATTTGGTATATGCTATTTCAGTTTATTCAAATTTATGCGTCGACAAAAAGTCCTCAAAAACATGAAAAATAAACAAAACAAAAACTTAAAAGAAAAAAATTATCAATAGTCAAAGTTTTCATTCTCCTACAAACAAAGTCAGTATACCTAACATTTCCTCCTTCGTGTTTATTTTTTCCTCCCAATTGATAAAAAAAAAAGAACAAATTTCTAAAGAATAATTCACCATTTCCTCATTGCAACCATGAAGTAACATTGCTACTCCTCTCCGACGACGGAACATAACCTCCTCCTACTCCTCCACCGTCTCTACTCTCATCCGCCGCTACAAAACCATTGGAAACCACCGCGTTAGGATAGCTTAGAGCACTCACGTGGTTTGACGATGAGAACATGTACGACGGTCTCTCTTGTTGCGGCATCTCGTGATGATGATGAGCCGTTTGGTATTGCCAAGGAGCTTGATAGCCAATGGACGAAGCTCCAGCAGTAGGATCCGACGAGGTAAGACTAAAACCAGACGACGAAGCCGCAGCAGACCCGAAAGCCACTGCTGATGGACCGCCAGTGAATTGTTGGACCATGGCTCTGAAGTTGGCAGTATCGGTTTTGAGAAGCGTAGTAGGTGTACGACGGGAGACCCTAGTCCTCCGACGTGTTGGTTTAGTAACACGGCGGGTTTCAGTGCTCACGGGAGAATGATCAGATGACGTGGCGGTGGTAGTGGTTGTTGTGACGGTGGAGTTTGTAGCGGTGGTGAAGAAGGTTTGGTTGTTGTAGAACTGAGACCAGTCGTTGTTAGAGTTGGCCATCTTCTTCTTATTATTATTATGCGAGAGAGAGAGAGAGACCAAAGACGAGAGCCCATGTTGTGTATTTATGGACTTTCTCTTCTTTAAAAAAAACAAATGTTTTAATTGGTTCGACTTGGTCAAAGGAAGACCATCTAACAAATCGCAGCCGTTCGTTTTGATTTGTCTCTTTAGGACACGCGGATTTTGTAAAAGGTTGTCGTCGCCTAACGTTTGATGTTGTCGATTTGTTTTCCTCAATTCTCCATCAGTAATACTGGTGAAAGATTCTAACAAAAAAAAATTTATATTATTTAATTTATATAATTTCTTTTCTATTTTCATTTATTCATTGAATTATTAAGTGTTTGACATTTGTCCACAATTTATATGAACCCGTTGCTAAAGTCTCTATGTTAAACTACTCATTTTTTCTCTTTCTTCAGTTTTTATTATTTTTATTATTTTGTTTAAGATAAACTTTTCTTTAACACCTCCCATTGGAGATGCCCTCACATACAGTGGTATAAATTCTAGAATAACTTTTTTAATTTAACTTTAATTTTGCTATAGCGAGTAACAAAATTTAGACAAAACAATGTATGAAAAAACGAAGACTAGAACAGTAATAAGTAATTAAAAAAAATATGACTTTAAAAAATAAATCAAATACTTCCTCAGCTCCAAATTAATAGTTGTTTTAGATAAAAACACAAAAAATTTAAAGATTGTTAAAAAATAAATGTTACATAATAATCACTTAATAATAAAAATCCAACCAATCATGAAATATTAAAAGTGAAAAATGCTAAACAATATTTAAATTTATATAACATCTTATAAAATAAAATAAAAAACTCTTTAAACATTTAATATTATGTAACATAAATAGTACTAAATATAAATATTAGTATATAAGTATATAACATTGGAGCAAATAATAAATACTAAAATTTTAAGAACGTATATTATTCCGTTCCAATATAGATACATTTGTATATAGATAATTAACTATATGAATTATATATATATATATATATATATATATATAACTTTATGAATTTTTATTCATCAAATTAGTTATTTAACTATCTAAATTAAGCAAATAATTATATTTTTTAAATAAATTTCTTAGTGATGGTTTAAAAATTATGATCTTTTCACTTTTGTTTTACTTTTTAGTTATGTTCAAAGTTTTAATGTAACAAATTGGATATTTAACAAATTTGCAAAATCGTCCATACCTCGTTTTGTTGTGTTTCCTTATTTTTGCATTCTCCACTCCCATCTTATCTGTTATTAATAATATTGGAATACAATTTTCTCATCTACCAAGATAGTCCCACAAACAACAATTAAAATATGGAAAGACACGTGTCAGTGTAAGCACTAAAGAATCTGGTTGCAAGTGCAATCTCTGTCGTCGTTATGCTTGCTACTTGAAGTGGCCATTTTCAGCAAATAGATAAGAAGGAAGGAAGAAAGAATGTTTCATCTTCTTCAATCTTTAGAAGATGGTAGCTTCCATGGCTTTTCCTGCCGCTGCTACTTCTTCCAGTTACTTCTATGGCGGTGGTCTTCATCTGGGTAGAAGCGATTACTCTCACACTCTTTCCTCTGTTAATCCCCGGAGAGCTTCTGTTTCCATCAGGTTGGTTTCTCCCTTCCAATTTCTCTTCTTTCTGATTGTAAATTTGGGGGCTTTTGATACTGTTTGCTTGAATCTAGAGATATGGTTCTAGAAATAACCTAATTATGGCATAAAGTATTGATTTTTATATATTCGGATTGTGTAATTCAGAACCAAAGAAGAGAAAGTAAGAGCCTTTTGGAATGGTATAGTTGTTGTAAATGGAGTTTGATTTTGTCTTTATGCCATAGTTAGGTTATAAAGAAAGAGCCTTTGGAATGGTATAGTTGTTGTAAACGGAATTTGATTTTGTGGGGAAACTTTATTTTAGGTGCCAATCTACTAATACGAAAGAGCCAAAGAATGGTAACATTTTGGACGATGCGAGCAACCTTCTTACTAATTTTTTAAGTGGTGGGAATTTGGGGTCAATGCCTACTGCTGAAGGAGCTGTCTCTGATTTGTTTGGAAAGCCTCTCTTTTTATCGCTTTACGACTGGTTCTTGGAGGTATATGTAATGTGGATTCGTCTCCATGTTTTACTTGAAGTTGGTTATTTTTGTAAGCAAGTTTGTTTGATTATGTGGTTTTGTTTTTGATTTAAAAGCATGGAGGAGTGTACAAGCTTGCGTTTGGTCCAAAGGCTTTTGTTGTCATCTCAGATCCTATTGTTGCAAGGCATGTCCTACGCGAAAACGCTTTTAATTATGACAAGGTATAACCGGAGTATTCGATTGAGGAAGAGGCATTTCTATTGTTTACTTCGGTACCATCAAGTAATGTCCTGTGTTTCTCTAGGGGGTTCTTGCTGAGATCTTAGAGCCGATTATGGGAAAAGGGTTGATACCGGCTGATCTAGATACCTGGAAGCTAAGGAGAAGAGGTAAAAGCACATTGTGATCTATATGTATTAGATAGTGAAGTACCATGGCATGGCACTACTAATGATTGTTTTCTTCAAATTTTTGTTGTAGCTATAACTCCTGCATTCCATAAATATTATCTAGAGGCCATGGTCAAAGTGTTTAGTGACTGTTCGGAGAAAATGATATTGAAATCTGAGAAACTCTTAAGGGAGAAAGAAGTTTCAAGTGGAGAGGACACGATTGAGTTGGATCTTGAAGCAGAATTTTCGAGTCTGGCACTTGATATTATAGGGCTTAGCGTGTTCAACTACGATTTTGGCTCTGTCACAAAAGAGTCCCCTGTGATCAAGGTTAGCATTCTAGTATTGAACTGGCTCTCCACTAGTCTTTCGAGGTACTCTGGTCCATTGATATTTTCTGTTACATCACAGGCAGTTTATGGAACTCTTTTTGAGGCAGAGCATCGGTCTACTTTCTACTTTCCTTATTGGAATTTTCCTCCAGCCAGATGGATAGTTCCGAGGCAACGAAAGTTCCAAAAAGATCTGAAGATTATAAACGACTGCCTTGATGGACTCATTCAAAATGCTAAAGAGACAAGACAGGTACTTCACTTTCTTTTTTTGTTCTTGGTTCTGCTGTTTTTGTTCTCATGTTGTTATTTGTTCTCCCAGGAAACAGATGTGGAGAAGCTCCAGGAAAGGGACTACTCTAATCTCAAGGTTTTGTCTCGCACAAGTATTAAAGAATCCTTCCCTTTTTAGTCCCATTCTGAAACTCCTCTGATTGTGCACTCTTGGATTCTTAGGATGCAAGTCTTTTGCGGTTCTTAGTCGATATGCGTGGTGCTGATATAGATGACCGGCAGGTAAGATTTATCGCTTTCTGATTAACAATTTTATTTGTCTCTTTTATGTTTGATTCATTACTTTCACACAACTGTTTCAACAGCTGAGGGATGACTTGATGACTATGCTAATTGCTGGTCATGAGACAACAGCAGCAGTTCTAACTTGGGCTGTTTTTCTTCTGTCACAAGTATGCACTTCAGAGTCTTCTATGTTTTTTCCATGTCTGCTTAAAAGCTCATTGTACAGTCTTAGCATTCTTTTCTAAATTTTGCAGAATCCTGAAAAAATTAGGAAAGCTCAAGCTGAGATTGATGCTGTGCTTGGTGAAGGTCCACCCACTTATGAATCAATGAAAAATCTGGAGTAAGTATGTTAACTCGAAAAATATCTTCTTTAATCTTTTCTTTTGGTCTTTGTTTAATTTGTTGACCGTATTGTTCCATGCTTCTGTAGGTACATACGACTGATCGTTGTAGAAGTCCTTCGTCTCTTTCCTCAGCCACCTTTGCTCATCAGACGCACTCTCAAAGCAGAAACCTTACCCGGTATGTCTTGAACCCTACACTTGCTAAGTAATACGTATAGACATTTTCTTTCATTACCACATAATATGTCCAATATAACTAGAGAAACCCAGTCCTGAGCTCATATATGTCTGCTCTTTCTTTTTGCTGCATGTATGAACAGGAGGATACAAAGGTGAAAAAGAAGGTCATAAAGTTCCGAAAGGGACTGATATCTTCATTTCTGTAAGTGGTAGTGTCTGTATTTGTTTATGCTTCCTCATTGGAACCCTGCTTTTCTTTGACGACTCTATTTTGTTTTTGCTTTCAGGTGTATAATCTCCACAGATCTCCATACTTTTGGGATAATCCCCACGATTTTGAGCCCGAGAGGTTTTTAAGAACAAAGGAGAGTAATGGAATTGAAGGATGGGCTGGCTTTGACCCATCTCGAAGCCCTGGGGCACTATATCCGAACGAGGTGAAAATCGAAAAACTTGCAACTCTTTCCCTTAGTGTGGGATCATCTTTCTCAAAGAATAAATAAATAACACTGAAAAAGATTCTGCAGTTAACTCTCTTATGCCTTGTAACAAAAATTGCCTTTGTTTGGTACTTATCATGAGAACAGATCATATCAGACTTTGCATTCTTACCATTTGGTGGAGGGCCACGGAAATGCATTGGAGACCAGTTTGCTCTAATGGAATCAACCGTCGCACTAGCTATGTTGTTGCAGAAATTCGACGTGGAGCTGCGTGGTACCCCTGAATCTGTTGAACTCGTGAGCGGTGCAACCATTCACGCCAAAGATGGGATGTGGTGCAAACTAAAGAGAAGATCAAAGTGAAAAATTTAGGAGAGGCAAAAAGACTCAGTTTGAGCTTGAAGGAAGCAGCAGAGTGTAAATGGGAGATGAATTGCATAAGATTTAGCAAACGTACATTCTTGAGATTTTGAAAATGGAGAAAGCTAATACAGAGATAAAAGTTTGATCAAAACCATCATTACATAGAAAGTAGCATAGTAACACACATCTTCACTCTTACAATCTTTATTTATGCATATGCCATATCTGACAATTTCACATTACAAAACCCACAATCCTCCAAATTTTATGAAAACTTGAATACTCAATACAAGATTACCAAACCATCTTAGTTCTTGATCTTTGTCTCTACCCGCGATGACTGGAGAGGAACCCCTTTGATAAAGGCAGAGAAAAACGCGAGGGAGCTGCTCGGTTTGAAGCTAGGAACTGTATGTCCAGCTCCTCTAAACGTAGCAAATGTTAGACCTTCGTATTCTTGAACCCACCCACTTACCTATATTGTTCATTGTAATACAAAGTATCATCAAGAAACCCAAATTAAAATCTAAAATAACCGGTTCATAAGATCCATCATATGTATGTGATCATGTATTGGACCTGTTTCTCATGGTACCATGGCCTCCAAGCTGACTTGATTGGTAATCCGAGTGCGTTTAAGCTATACCGAGTTCCGAGTACTGGAACACATCCGTCTGTGTCACCACTGAGCCCATCACATAAACCAAATCAAGCCAACGGCCATATATAATTACTATATAACCAACTAAAGTAGTAAAGCTTTAAAATGTTCAGTGATATCACTTGCGTAAGAAGCAACACTATTTTGTTTTTTACCCTATTTTCAACACATACTTTTGGTATATTAAATGAGTGTTACCTGTAAACCCATATCCTTAATCCTCCCGCGATGAGTTTCTCATATATAGGCAAAACTGAGGTCACTAAATAAGTCCAGTTATGAAAGACCTCCATGCTGCAATCTCAGTATATATACCAAAACTATTCAGACAAGTTCTATCATATATCATACGTACAAAAAAAAGAATAGAACATATACAACACATACTTGCAAATGGTCCAGTTCTTGAGATTAACTCCATCACTTGCATGAAGAGCTTTCTGAACATCTGCCCTATTATAATATATTTTCACGTAATCGTCTAAACACGGGTCGTATCCACCCAAGCGCCTTCGTGGCATCTAAAGCATGCAAACAATAACAATTTGGTATAGCCTTAATGTGATATAGCTTAACAAAATAGGTAAACACATACCCTTTTAGATTTAATGTGATAATTTGTTTTGAACTGTGCTGATGCGAAATAAGACGACTGCGCAGAAGAACCTCCTTTACACGCAGAGGTATAGATGCTATAGATATCGATCTCGTTGTACTGCTTGTCAACTTCTGCTATGGCTTCATTGCACTCTTTGTTTTGCCAAACATTGTCGCTGCTGAAGTTGCATAACTTGTTTATGTTTCTATGTGTCTCGTCTGATATCACTGCGTGGCTCCATGCATAATCCACCCATCCTCTCCAATCATCTGGATTTGATATATCTGGATTCCCCAACTAAGTATATATAGCCAAAAGAAGGAAAAAAATATCGGACGGGTTGGATTTGAATTTAGGATCTTGCTATGCAAATTTTAATTTAACTACATGACACTTAGCTAGTATTAAGAGAGACTCAAGCTTACCAAAAACCCCTTAAGATTGATGTAAAGTGACGAATCATTGTTTTTTATATTGTTATCGTACACGACCTCTGCTAACTGGGGTACGTATATTCCTGTATACATAACACGTTAGCCAAAAAATATATATGCAGTATTATAAAGCCAATGAACTAGCTAGACCATATTATTAGTTCTGACTAAAAATAAGATGATTTAGATTATAACCTGCGTAACTTTCGCCAGCAATATAGAACTCATTTCCTCTGTGCTCTGGGAATCTCTTAAACCAGTTGCAAAGAAATGTGTATGCATCTTTTTCTGATGATAAAACATACACTTATGTTTATTACTAGAAGTATGCATGGTACGTACTATAAAACACAAGACTATATATGAAATTATAGACCTACTTGTAAAGTGATCGTTAAGATTTTGATAATCGCTACTTGTGTTTGAATATGAAAAACCAACGCCGACGGGAGATTCTAAAAACAGCATGTTGACCTCTGCATGCATAAGCACATCAAACCCTTTTCCATTATTATAAATTTTATATTGTATCTATGATGATATGAAAATTTTATATTATAACCTTTATTCCATGCGTATGGATTAGATATAAGTCCTTTTTGGTTAGTGTCCGCGAGGAACGGACCAATTTCTTGTGTTGCTCCATATCCCACCGAAGAGCATCCTGGACCTACGTACATATAGTATACATATTACCAAAAGTCTTAATGTTCTCTCTCATGAGACAACATAAACTAAGCAAAACTTAACCACATCAGTCTATTATTTTACGTGTTATCATAAAAATGTTTTGTTATTTTATTGAGTTGTTGTTATACCTCCATTAAGCCAGAGAACTAGAGGTTTCTCTTTAGGGAGATCCATGGCTTCAAAGAACCAATAAAACAAAGCTCTTGTGTTGGATTTATCGACAGGAACATAACCGGCGTAATGTTTGAAACTCACATCAGGCTGTCCGGGCAAATCTGTCACGAGATCGGCCTCCTTGGCCAAGGAACTTCTATGATGTTGTCTACCACAGGAAACCATTTCGAGTGGTAATAAAAGGACAGTAAAACTCAAAGTGATTAATAGATTAGACATGTTCTTGGTGTGATAAACCATTTGAGGTTTTAGTTGTGAAGAGTAACTAAGATTAGATGTCTATTTATAAGCTAATAAAGCTATAAGACTACTAGATGTTTAAATGCTAAGATCATGCATGAGAATTTTGTGTGCTTATGATTTTTAAAACATATAACTTTTAATCCTTTTTTTCTTTAAAATCTAAGTGGATATGGAACCACACTAGTATTTTGTGTGTAATTGGTAGCTTTAGTTTGATGAGGTGGTCGAATAATTCCATCTTCTTCTTACTTTTTTTCACCAAGTTTCACCAAGTCAATCTTAAAAACCTTTATAGGATAAATTCGAATGAATTCGTTTAGTGGATGAAGCACTTTCTCTTTAATGGGTTTTAGCAACGTCATACAGTCAAAAGAAACACAAATATTTAGTCTACTCACAATACTATATATTGGTATCAAATGAATTGGTGCTATTCACTGCTATATAAACTATAATACGTGTGGTCCTAGAAATAAAATAGAAAATGGTGTGAAATTATTACGGATCACTTTTATGTAATATGAATTTGGCCCTAACAGTTTGTTATTCGTCCTAAAAATTAAGAGAGGAATGAATCTGTTTTGCCCACTACAAAGCCATATTATATGTTTAGATTTTAGATTACTAGTAGTTTTTTGGAGACTATTGGACCTTAATTTCTCAATTCCATGATCCGACTTGAGAAATTGAACAGAGTAGTAGTAGTGTGAATGAACTTTAGCAAACAACGAATATACCACTAATCCCACTACACATGGGAATATATATTAACAATTGAGTGGTTTTTACAACGTTGGTCAAAACGAAAATGATTTTTTTTATTCATGCAGACACTTTAGTTCACTTTGATAAATCGTAAATTATGTATGCACTCGTTTTTTCTAACTATTGCATAGTTCGTTCACTTGACAGCTGTAAGTCTTGGCCATACTTTGAAAGTGTAGGGAAATTGCGTCTTCTAAACCTTAATAAAATATGGTAACGATTGAATCATATATACCGGACCTGGTAGCTTGCTTAGATAGCAAATTACGGATGTTTAGAGTAAATTTATGCTCATCTTTCTCAAAGGTTTCACATTGAACACTTGCAAATCTTTCCTTTCACTATTTGAGGTGCTCATCTTTCTCAAAAAGTAAAACTGAATTCTTCTTCATTATATGTATACATCTCTTATAACAAGATTTGCCTTTGTGTGGTAATATGATGAGAATAACAGACCATATCACAGACTTTGCATTCTTACCATTTGGTGAAAGATCAAGGAAATGGATCAGTGACCAGGTTGGCCTCAGATGTTAGTGTTCCAAACGGCATATGTTAACAAGTTCCCGCATTGGGACTAGTCAATGGTATATCTTGAGGTTGAATTCTTCCCATTGGATGTTTTAAGGTTTTGCTAAGCCAAAAACCTAACAAATCGACTGTCGCGGTAGCTATGATATCGTGGAGTTGTGTGGATCACTGGAATCTGTTGAACTAACCAGCGCAAGGACTCGGGTGAAAAAATGGGATGTTGTGAAAACTAAAGAGAATGTCAAAGTACAAAAAGAAGCAAAATACAGTACAGACCACAATTTTTGAGATTTTGAAGGTGCGGATGATGAAACACCACAAAGCTAATACATAACACAATTTATTCAAATTCACAAGTGAAGGGATGTTCATACATTACAGTGAGGATTTGTATTTGTATAGAAGACATGAATCATGATTTGGATCATTAAAGACAAATGAACACACAAAGGCTTAATCGAAGAAGAAGAGACAGAACAAGTCAAGATGATAAAGACTGAAATGTTTCAAAGAGGAGAAGTGAAACTATAAGAAGAATAAGACAAGGTACCGAGTTGCCAACTTGTGTGGATTTGCTCTGCCTTTGCACCTTCACCTGCTGCACCCATCGCAACGTGTAACGGGTACAAATGCTCGGGCCATGGATGCGCCATTTTCGCATTCGGAGCTTTCACTTCCCACTCATTCACATCTCCATACCTGAAAACAAACTTAATAAAAAAACTGAATGTGGTTTTGCATAACATTAAGCAGCAAAAAAAAGGTTCAAACTTTCAAACCTTCCTTGAAGGAGAGAATCTCTAAGCCAATGATCAAACTCCAGAGCCCAAGGAACCGAGACGCCATTAGTGATACTTCTGTCAAGCTTCCTCAAGTTATGAGTAGCACTTCCAGAGCCAATGATAAGAACACCTTCATCTTTCAATGGAGCTAATGCTTTACCCATGTTATAATGATAACTCCCATTTTGTTTTGATTGAACAGAGAGTTCACAAACAGGTATATCAGCTTCTGGATACATCAACATAAGAGGAACCCAAGCTCCATGATCAAGTCCTCTCTTTGTATCTTCATCAACACGTTTCATTCCTCCTTCTCCCATTAACAACTCTTTAACCCTCTTCCCCAATTCAATTGCTCCTGGTGCTTCATATTTCAGCTACAAACATTTCAAAATCGACCCAATAGAGAGAATCAAACATTTAAAAATCAAAACTTTATGCATCGTCTCAACAATCTTATTGTGTGAATCTGTTGAAATGACCAAAGTTAGGTTTTTTTTTTTGGTTTATACCTTGTACATGGGATCAGGGAAGCCATAGAAATCGTGGATCGTTGAATTGCGAAGAACAGTGTTGACGGATGGGTACTTGGTGTCCCAATGAGCAGAGATGACTAAGATCGATTTGGGTTTTTGAGGAAGAACCTTTTGACTCCATGATTTGAAGAATTGTCTCGCCTCTAAGGTATCGTCTATGCTTAAAGTTGGAGATCCATGAGATAAGAAGAAGGTTTGATTCACTTTCTCCATCAAAATTTCAATCTCTCTTCAAGTCTCAACCTTGATTTGTTGTTTCTTTTTTGCAAATGTTTGTTTCACCAACTCTGGTAATTTTCTTGATTTTGTCTGAATAAAAAGAAAGGGACACGCCCACCAAACCCCAACGACCGACCAGGGATTGTTGTGTGTCTGAACGGGATTTATCAAGATTGGATTAGCGATTAAAAAATAATAATAATTTCAATTTAACTTATGAACTAATTGTCTCTAATTTTAGTAAATTAAGTCATTGTTTGTTCCACTTGAAGATAGTCTTGTTCAAGTTTAATCATCTCTCCATTGGCTCCTTTGACTACTTTTTGAGTGTTTAATAAGTAATGTTAACAAGAAGAGAATTCCAAATTGCTTATGAACTTGATATACAAAAGGAGACTTGTGTATCTTTTTAAGATAAAAGTGTTACAAGGCTAACATAGTTCTACGTGATCCCAGATTATCCACTCAGACTTGTGTATCTTTTAAGATCAAAACCAGCCAATATCCCCACAATGTACAGAAAACCAAATCTAAACGATTTCATCTTTGTCATTGCAACTCAAACTCCATGGAGGAATATGGAGCTATCCTAATGTTTGAAAACAGCTTCTTGCAAAAATGTTTCCAAACTAATCAAACGTGTTACTATAGCTGTCTTGATGAACTACCAGGCAATTGGGCAGATCTCAAATGCTCTTCCTGAAAGAAAAATCAAATCAAAACATGTGGTTAAAGCACAAATACATTAATCCTCATTCAAAGTGAATCAACTTAAAGAATTTATTCAGGCAGCTGAGACCTGTAAACTGTAAGTGAAATTGGGAGGTGGCCTGAAATCCATTTGGCCCTGCGCCAGACAATAAAACGAAACATATTACAATAAGATCATGGCTTCTATAACCAGTTTGGAGGATGTTATAATGTACCAGCCCAGGCATGGCTTGCTGATTTGTGAAGAAGCTGTCCTGCACCGGTGCTATAGAATTCAGTTGTCCCTGAAGTCGAAAAAAGCAAACCACATCATATCATTAACTTATACTTACTACTTAGCATAAATATGGGGGACTCAAGAATTTAAGTATATACTAAACTCACCAGGCCTTGGATGGTTCTTTGATTAACATAGTAACCTTCGTGAGGTGGCTCCATTAAATTTAACTATATCCACAGTCAAAACAGGTTTGAGTATCAGGGTAATGGTAGATGTCGAAACGCTTTGAACAGATTTGTAACAATTAACTAACATAGCATACCAATCCTTGAACGTTCTGTTGAGGACCATAGTAACCATTCATGCTCATTCCCTCTGAACTCATAGTTTCCTGTACAAACAATTAAAATGTTTCAACTATAAATAAAATATTCAAGACATCCTATTCTTTATCTCATATAAGAACATGCACTTTATTAATGACCAAATTAATCACAGAAAATCAAATCAAAGCACAAACCATTGGTTGCAAGCTCTGTTGAGATTCAAGCATTTGGTCAGCTTCTTGTTGTCCCTGCATAAAATCAATTTGAGTAGCTTAAGACTTTGAAAATTGAAACTAAGAACATGCACGAGTATCAAATACATTGGTTTGCAATAAAAGCCCACCTTTCTTTTCCTGATAACAGTCTTCTTTTTTGTTGCTTTTACTGCCATTAACTGATTTTCTTCTT